ACCAGCGGCTTCTAGTATCAGACATTCATTTAGATCACGTGGCAGAGGATGACTAATCCTATGCTGGACCATGATGGATAGGAAGACATCAACCAAGGTATCAACAATACCAACACCAACACCACGCATTTACTTCCTTCTGGCACCTGTTAGTAAACATGGTCTAAGTAGTAAATGTCATCGGCAAGCAACCCTCTCTCTCCCTCCCTCTCTCTCTCTCCACGTAGCAGTGGCCTACGCCCTTTTCCATGTTTGCTTCTTGTCGATCTTCAGCCCTTCTTTGCTGTAGACTATAGACTGCAGGACGGCGAAGAATAGGCAACCACAGTCTGTGGCTGCCCTTCTGCACTTTCCCAAATGCCCAATTAGCGCAGTCGGCGTTGACATACTTCTGTCTGTCGTACTTCACTTGCCTGACTGACCTCTCCAACCCCTGATTCTAGCCATCCTTCTCCTCCACGCTCCCCCATCCCTTCATACTCCACCTGATAGGCCTGCCCAGTGCTTACTACAGACTGCCTGTCAGTCGATTCTACATACCCCCTCCCCTCGTGCAAGCGACATAAGTAGACCAGTCGCAAACATGGCGAATAGTTCGGCTCATACGTCCCAACACTCGCCCTTGAACTCTTCCTTCCCTGTTGTACTACCCACAGACCTTGCTCTCTTCATGCAGCAATCTGAGTTCGAGGCCTGGCTCAAGAAAGATGTCGGCTCGACAGCCATAGACGAGCGCGAGGACGACATCACAGTAATCAAAGAAATGGCAAGTGTCATGACTAGTCTTCAACCTGTGAGTACCATAGGCCTGGAGCGAAAAAGTTCGGTCGAGACTGACAGCCTCCGCTTACAAAAGGCACTATTCTTGTATGGCTTGGAGAAACATACCGCTTGCCATCGTACATCTAAGAATCTTGCTGCAAAGAACAAGACCCTCACCGAGAACGCTGATGTCACCAACATCTCTTCGAAGAATCCGCTCGTCGATCTATTCTATGATCTTGGTGAGAACACGACGAACAATAAACTGAAACCACTCCTTGAAAATGCCTGGTGCGAAGACCCGCTGATGACGCTCAAGATGATCTTCAATGCCCGAAGCATACACCTTGGCAAGTCGAACAGAGTGGCATCATACAAGGCGTTTGGCTGGCTAGCTGAGACTCATCCTCTGACCCTCCTTGCCAATCTGAAATGGTTTGTGCGACCAGTGATTGCGAAAAAGGCGCCCAAACCAGACGATAAGGAAAAGAGCATGAGCCTGCACCAAGATCTTGATATGGTCGACGCCCATGAGATGGACCCCGAGAACGCCAACGAGGTACGCTTTGGTGTCTCCCATGGTTATTGGAAGGATCTTCTCAACCTTGTTGTATTAGCAGCGAAGGATCAGCTCAATCTCGAAGGCGACCCATCTGCGCTCCTCAATCAAAAGCCAGATAATACCTCAACTGGTAAACGTAAGCGCACCTGGGATGCTCTCGCCGCAAAGAAATTGAGGCAAAAGAAGAACAGGGAACAAAACGAGCGAATTCAACTCAAGCTGAAGCATGACTCGTTCTATAGAGCTCTGCACATTAGTGTTGCGAGACTCTTTGCGGACCAACTGAAACAGGACAAAGCCCTTCTTGACTCGGGCATCGATTCAGATCTCAGCAAGCTTTCACTGGCTGCCAAGTGGGCTCCCTCGGCTGGCGAGTTTCACGACAAGCACACCTTCATCCTATCTTCAATTGCAGAGATTCTGTTTCCAGACTCCGCTCTCTACTGCCCGGATGCTACTAACCGCGAACTGTATCTTCGCCACGTTCGCGAGCTCTACCGCAAGCAATACGCCTCCCCCCTACGCAAGGCTCTCCACATCGTCGAGCGGGACATAGTGGCAGAGACCTTTGAGAACATCAACTATGAACGTCTGTCTTCATTAGCTCTGGATCGTTACTCCGCCCTCTTCATGCAGAAGGACCTGGATCATTTCATGGAATATGTCAAAAAGGTCTCACAGGGAACTGCAACCATCTCTGGAGCGACTCTGCTGCCTTCAACTCTGGTCTCGAAAGCCCGCTCGATAGCAGCACGCATGTACACTCCTATCGCTCGTGGCGCCACTGTCAAAACTATCAAAGATAGAGTCACAGCAGAAATGATGGCAGAGCTTGTCAACGGTCAGTGGGCTACGCTCGTCAAACGTGTGCAGAATGCGGGCTGCCTCGAGTCCTCTATTGCTGTCTGCGACGTTAGCGGCAGCATGAGTCACCCTTCTTTCAAGGACGGTTCCTGTCCGATGGACTCTGCTATCGGCCTATCCCTGCTGATTGCCGAAGTTACAGCGCCCCCCTTTGGTAACGGCTTCATAACGTTCACTAGTGTCCCGCGCTACATGTCCTTTGCTGGCAGTGCAGATGTTCCAGAAGGGCTCGTAGAGAAGGTACAATACACAACCTCGGCCGATTGGGGCATGAATACCGACTTCACGGCTGTGTTCGAAGATGTCATTCTTCCCATGGCGGTTGCAAATAAGCTCAGGGCGGGAGAAATGGTGAAACAAGTCTTTGTCTTCAGCGACATGCAATTTGATCAAGCGCACGACGACAACGATCGCTGGACGACATCGTACGACCGCATCAAGGCCAAGTACAAAGAAGCTGGCTACGACATGCCGCGCCTCATCTTCTGGAATCTGGCGTCAAGTGCGACGGAGAAGCCGGTTACAGTGGACGATAGCGATACGGCGCTTGTATCTGGATATTCACAGGGTATGCTAAGAGCGTTTCTGGAGAGCGGCGCGTTTGACAGTGTGGAGGAGTATATCGAGGAAGAGATTGGAGGGGAGGAAGGAGAGCAAGGCATGACAAAAGTGATGAATGTGAAGAGCAAAATGGAGCCAATGGATTTGGTGCGGAAGTCTGTGGAAAATAAGGCGTATGGGATGTTGGAGGTTGTTGATTGAAGGGCTAGCAGGCGGATTGGGGAAAATGTAAGAAAGGAAAGTTTGCCATTTACATAATGCTACGACGTAACGAGTGCATAGTATTTATATCCCTCTGCACATGACTCTTTATACCAGCTTTGTGCATGCTAAAAGTACAATCGATTCGACTTCTCCCAATGGCTAACCCTGTGTCAAATACATGTCGCGTCTTTCCCTGTCGAATGATGTATATAACATAATTTTCCATCCAACGCTCGCCATAATTTCTTCATTCCTACTCTTATAAAAAACTCCAGACAAACACACCTTCCCAAAACAACAGGAAAATCTCCACCACATCGAAGAAATCAGAAGAAGTAAATTAAGTACAAACTCCCAGTAGTCACATTACTAATTTTTTTTAATGAGCCAAGGATGAAATAGACTATATCACCTAAAGTACTATAATCCAAGTACATTGCGTATTTAGACTTGTTATATTATTCTTATTTGTCTTGGTGGATTCGGTCACATAGGTTTGGGATGGATGTGGGGATGTAGGTGGTTAGGAGGTGCTAGGTAATGCTGTGGGTTATGGGGGAGGGAGTATGGGGTGCTGGGAGAGGGGAGAGTGGAGAGAGGTGGAATAGAGAGCAAAAGATTAGTGATACAGTTGAGAGACCTGCTTCCGCTGTATCTTAAGAGCTTAGGAGGGCGAGGGGCTAGAGAGATGCGGAGTCAATGTGGTCAAACTTGAGGTATGGTACTGACTCTCTACATCACTCGTCCTCGATTCTCTGCGCTGCTCTGCCGTGTTGCGCTATATTGCACTGCCTGCGCTAGAAGAAGACGGGTGGGGATTAGACACGGGTAAGGTATATCGCGGAGTAGAAGGAATAGGGGGTGGGTGGCGCACGAAGTTTGTTGGGCTTGAGATGCGAATAGTAGTTTAAGAGAGTCTTCACTATGTTTGAATCCCAAATTTGGAGTAGGGATTGACAGCACTGGCGATTTATACTATGTTGGAATCAAAAAGAGGTGAGTGAATTTGTATAATTGTGGTCAAATAAAAGAAGAATCTACAGTGAAAACGTGAAAAGAGTTTTTAAGGACGTAGCATGGAAACAGTCGAGTAACGTGCCTGCATTAAACGGATGTTCGTGTCATGGGGGCTTTGTTTCACCTTTCAAACCTCCCCTTCTTTTCCTCCCCTTGTTTCGATATATATCCACCATACGCAATGGAACATCACGGTTCTTAACGCTCCTGCACATTCTCCTTCAACTCCTTGGTCTTCTCTCTCACCATGTCCGTGATCCCCTTGCCCTCGCCACCCGAATCGCTCTCGCTCCTCCTCTTGACCAAGCGCTCCTTCCACGCTTTATCCTCCTCATCCCGCATCTCCAGCTCCCTCAACCACCTATCCCTCTTATCCAGCCGTTCCTGTTGCGCCTTTTGCTTCTCGTAGTCCTTGCGCTTCAACCGGTCTTTTTGCCAGTACATGTTACCGGCGACCAAGACGGCAATGGTGAACGCTTGTGCGTACAGACGGCGGCGGAAATACAGGTTTGTGGCTTTGTGGTCGCCTTTGCGCATCGAGCGGGTTGCGCCGACAATGGCCCAGACGGTGAGGCCGCAGCCGAGGGGGACGAGCGGCTCTTCGCGCAGGCGGCGCCAGATCTTGTCGATGGTGTTTTCATTGTAGAAATCGCTGGGGGTGGGGTTAGTGGTGAGGGGGCCTCGCATGTGAATGGTGGGTAGGATGTGGGGAGTGAGTTATCGGGTGACAGGAAAGGGGAGATGGAGGGATGGCGGAGGGGGTGTGCCGTACGCATTTTCGTCAAAGGAAGAGGGGAGTGGTGCGCTGTTCGGGCCACCAAAGCTGCCCGACATGATGGGAGGCGGTGGTGCACTTGGTGCTTGGTGGTGTCGTGTGATGGTGTAAATGGAGGTGTCGCAAGAGTGAATCGTAGCAGTGGGAGGGGGTCTTGAGGTCCAAAGGATGACGATTGACCGACGATGCTAGTCCCAAAATCACAATCCAGAGTTTTCTATACGGCCCCGTAATGGGCTGGTGAAGGTGAATTACTGTAGCTGCGGAGCTGTACCTATCGATTATCTCATCACTCGTCGGTCATCGGCCCTTTTCGATGTTCCAGCGCCGGGACCTTGGAAATCGCTGGTAGGCCTCCGCATTTGTCCCATGCTAACCTGAACCAACTGTCTGTCTATCCATACACCTGATATCACTTCACAACAGCAGACTTACCGCACCGTCGCCTTCAATGAGAGACGTGGGTGCAGTCCGAAACCTTGCTGCGCCATGAACGATGAGGCCGAGGCCGAGTCGTCTCGGGCTGCACGGCAACATGGAGACGGCGTCTCATCCGAGCATGCAGACCTAGAGCACATCTTCAGACGGGTCGATGAAGAAGAAGACGAAGCAGAAGAAGAGCGCGAACGGCAGAAGTCTGCAAGAGAAAGACGACTCGATGCGAAGAGGAAGCGGATACGGATGCTGAATGAGCTTCTGCGCGAACTGGACATGGTTGTCTACATGGAGCTCATCACCGTCTACCATCTCGAGTAAGGCGTGCTTTTCTTTTCTCCCCCATCATCTACGGCGCGCAGAACAACTGCTCACAAGTGTCTACTTAGTTGTTCCTTCTTCTGGCTGGCCGTCAAGGCATTCCTTCACGGCACCCTCCTCACGCCCATGCCCGACACTGCGGCCGTCGACCGGCCACCAGACGAACCGAAGCCCTTCCTCCCACTGCTGCTCTTCTCCTTTCTGATGAACCTGTTCCTGCATCTTACCTATCCAGCTCCTTCGGCCGGCGAGGATACCCGAGGCTACCTCCACGGTGGCTTGATGATCGACTTTATCGGACAGCAAGGACCAACCAGTAAATGGAAGCTGGGCGCACTCGACCTCTGCATCTTGTTCCTGCAGCTGGCAATGGTCTCCGTGCATGTCAAGAGACGGCATCTGAAGAAGCAGTTGGCAAGGCTGTCAACAGGCGGTTGCACAACCGCGCCTACGGAGGCAGTCGCCCGAGGACAAGACGCGGACGATGAAGAGCGAGGCCTACTGCGCCGAACCGATACTTTGTCAGACCTCGGGCTTGATCTAGATGGCGGCGAAGACGCAGAAGAAGAAGAGGACGCATTGTTGCCGCCTGGTTCGTCGGAGAACAGGCATGCAGATGCCCTTGATATCTTGACCTCGGGCCAATGCGTCATTGGCCATTTCACCCTCATCGACACGCTGTTGCAGGAGAATAAAAACTACTCTGCCTACCGCCTTACTCGCTCAGAAGCCGGGATGAACGACATGCCAGAGACCTTGCGCCGGCTCAACACTTTGCGCGCACGCTTTGGTGTCGGCGCTGGATGAAACACCGCATCTATCGCCATACACCGCATCTATCGCTGGTACCCGTTTCTTTTTCGGTGCAAGTACGCCTCCGTCCCTCACGATCAGTCGTGGTAGCATTGTAGTATGTACTACGCCTTGTGACGCCTTGCGTAACCTCTTGCACAAGGCACCCGATTTAATGCGTTTCGCATACACATATCACACGTGACATCACCGGTCTCCAGATGTCAACATCAGCATCAGCATCAGCGACAGACCCTTCGCATGCATCTCACGCCCAGCATCAAGCCACCAATGCTCGATTGCTTCCACATGCGACAACACAAACCGACCGCACACACGGCTCTTTGACACCATCTGACTTAACCCTTGATGCAGTTGGGGCGGCTCTACAAGCAGATGTTGCCCCGAACCTGCATACCAACAGCCCATGTCTGTCACACAAATGACGGCTGTCATCTATCGGCATCCCGTAGTGCGCTGGGCTGGCTTACCCGCATGCGGTTCCCGCAGATGTCATCTTCCGTCAGTGTGCATGGAATCAGGGGGTACTTTTCCCATCGGTGTGGCATCATGCACGTGTGCGTGGGTGTATTCTTGGATGGTCGCACCTTGTTGCCTTTTTTCACTCTACTCCGGAATGCCTCTGCCCGTTCGGCTCCCGTATGCGTATGCATATGCGTACATGTGTGGGTGCCGGACGGCAGACGCAGCGGCAGAGGCAATACATACAGTAGAGTCGGGGGGCTACGTTCGGTACGTAGAGTAGGTAGCGGAGCGAGTGCTCGATTCTACTGCATCGTAGCCGTACATACACACATACATGGGTACATACATGCGCCATGCGTCTTCAATGCCCAGTACCAACCATACTGCTCACTCCCTCCGTCTCACGGTGCCCCTCTTCGCATCTTTCTTCTTCTTCTCCTTCTTCCTCTTTTGTCTTCTTTCCCTCTTGGGCATTCTGCTCCCAAGTCCACACAGCAAGCTGACCTGACGCCCGCGCCACACCACGCCATCCCGCCTCGCCTCGCCTCGTCTGACCTTGCCCGACACAATCATCCCACTTCAGCTGGTGCCTGAACAAGGCAAATTCAAGCGAACCCAGCCCAGCCAATAACAGACCAAACCTACGCCGACTCCTCCCACGCACCGCCGGAACGGAATCAAGAAATAAATCGCCCCTTTTTAGGGGCAGAAGCAGTTCATTGTGCGGTTGATTGCCTGGTTGATGTGGTGCCCCGGTCCCCCTCTTCCCACTCCATTCCACGTCCACGTTTATGCATGGATCTTTGTTGGGAGGTAGGGAGGAGAGAAACGGCAGCAGGCAGGGCTTGCTTTGATTTGGTTTACCTATTTCTCCTGCCTGTTTTGGGTGAGTTGGGGATCAGAAACCCGCCCTGCAGCTACGTCACCTGCTGGAAAAGAAGCGGGGAGAGGGGAAATGAGAAGGTAAAGATTTGACAGGAGCTTTGTCTCGTTGTGTATAGTATACATGGGCAACGACCAAGGAAAGAAAGACGGAACGCGCCCTGCACGCCTTTCCCATCCCTAACATTCCATTCAGACTCGGCATCTTAGAGCTGTGCTTCATGATTACAGACCAGGGATCCCCGACCATCAAGTAGTTATCACCTCGTTCCACACACCGCACGCGTGTCATGTGTACATGCTCTCGTACTCCTGAGTCACCGGTACTGCATGTATACCCGCCGATCGATAGACACATGTATTTCCTGTGTGTAGTGCGTTATGCGAGAGCGAGGCGAAAGACCGGGTTTGGATACGCTATACGGTATGCCCATGTACGAGGTGGGAATGTGCGGGATTATGGATTCGGAGGGTGGTGCATCCGCGGAGGGAGGGGATGGGGGTTGGGAGGGAGCGGGCTGTGCGTCATGCCTTATGCGTTGTGTGCTGGAAGGAGAGGATAGTTTTTTTGTGAAAGGGGGGATTTGGGGGGTCGGGGGGGTTGGATGGATGGGACTGAAGTGCGTGTTGCGATGCCACTGTAGTGTGTGGCCATTGTATGAAGCGTAAAAGGGGCAATCCAATATCAGAGAAGGAAAAGCACGGGGAGATTGGATCGTCATGGTAAGGATCCCGTGATGGTTCTTGTTCCCTGTGGATCGCAGCTTGTTCCTTTCCCCTCTTTTTCCAATTTGGATTTGTCTGTAGGGTTCCTTTGGGTGAACAGCGTGGTGGATACCATGTGCACGCGCACAGTCGCATATGCATGGCTATGAGGGATATACTCTACCTACTGAATCAAACCTACTGTATACTACTAACACCTGCTTGAATGAGCGGTGGGTCCCACTCTATATTCCAACCAGGCCTACTATGTGTAGGCTCAGTACCCAGTACCCAGTGTACATACATACATGCATACGCTGGAGCTGGGACAAACCCCTCCCCATCGTCGCTCGCGATATCCACACACACACAAACATACGATGGTCATCCTTCTCGCACACTGTACCTTTCCTGCACACCCCCCACCGCATACTTTCATGCAAGCAGAATCCTACGCAGCCTGGAGGATTAGACAGAGAATCCTCTGGCACTCCGCTCCGCTTCACACGACCACAATTACCACATGCCTCCGCGGAACCCTTCAGGCGCCCTGACTTCTGGGAATATGGATTGGGAATACGAGCCGGGATACGGAGGGGAATATAGAGGATGTGGTGGGGGAGAAACCGTACGGCTGGTCATGTAGCATGCAGACCTACCTTTCCATAATATTTGTGTATTCCTACGTACAGTACTTCACTCCAACGGCAGCGACTCATACCGTAATGTTAGCCGGATAGCCATGTTATCCACCTTGGGTTGGGGCAACGCAATGCAGCGCCCCAGTGGGGACTTGGATAATAATTCATCTTTCGCGTATCCTGGCGAAAACGATGGAGTCGAGTGGAGATGTGGACATGCTCTATGCTGACGGTACCTATTGTACTGTATACATGTAAGTACTTTGTCAGAAACATGGTCTGTCCCAGAGAGAAGAAATCCTTCGGGCGAGGGGGGGGGGTATAATAGATCCTACATGTTCGCTAATCCTGACGCCGCATACGTCTTTGTTTTTTTTTGGAGGGGGGGGGGCGGTTTACCTCCACCAGCATGACCACAAACACCCCTTCTCGTCGATTTGCTTTTATTTGCGCATGCTGCGGGAACTAATCTCGGTATTTGGGTACGCGGGGGTGGGGGGTTTACTGTACTTGGTTTCGGATTGGTTGTGGTAGGTGGGGAGAGTGCTGGGGGCAGGGGACGGTAGACAGATGGTTCTAGGTACTACTGTTGATGGTACAAGTAGGTAGAAAGTGTGAGATGGTGTGAATCTCGCTGTTTTTCGTGACATGTTGCTTTTTTGTGCATGAGATTTACACAGCTGTAACTTAGCCTTCTCCATCCTGTTAGTACCAATATGCTTTTTGATGTTGGCCCGTCTGAATTGTGTTCAATAGGTGCTGCCTTTGTCTATTGGCACATGACGCGGTCATCCCCCCTCCCTCCAGTATGTATAACAGAGCTGTATTATGGGCAAGGGGAAAAAAGTCCATGGTAGGCTTTCAAGGCGCAACAAGTCGCATCCCAATGATTTCTGCATGGAACTTTTCCCTGAAAGGAACAGCTATCCATGAACGCTGCCCAGGATGGTCACGAGCACGAGCACTGCTTCATGTACTATTGAGGCCTTTGCAGGAAAACACAAAACACGTCGAAAGCATGGCCCATGGGAATACAATATTGTCAAGACCTGCAGCAGCGTCTGGGTCCATGAACGACACATGTGCTCCCATGCCCTCCACAGCCTCCCTCCCATATGACCTTTTGTTTTCTTCAGTGCCCCAAGAGTCGCGGTATGCGCTGGCAGAGGGTGGCAATCGCGACAAACGCGTGTCGCCGCACCCCCTTTTCACACCCACATCATCATCATCACCGTCGTCGTTGTCGTCGTCGTCCGCAAAACATGGGGCAAGGCTGCCATGTCGCCCTGTCAAGAGTCTTCCGCATTGCGTCCCACGGCATCCTGCCGCCTCGAAACCCATTAGGCGCACCAGCACACCCTCAGCGGTGTGCTCACAAGCCCAGTGTCTTGCGTGCGTGCGTGCGAGCGTGCATGAAAGAGAAAAAGCCAATTCTCGGACGGGCCGAGGCGTGCGCTGTCAGCAAACGAACCGGACCGAGCCCTCGCGTCTCCCATCCATCTCGACCCTTCATGGTTCCATGATTCATCATCCCATCCCCCCCATCCCCCCTCTCCCCTCCCCCTCCGGACTCCCCCATACTTGTACATACCCTGTTTACCTAGCCTTTGAACACACCAGCGCTTGTTAAACCCTGTGTGCGGCGCCGTGTGCGTTCGTCACTTTGCCCCGAAGGAATTCGGGCCGCGCCCACCAACCAGGCACCTCCCCACCCCCTACACTCGTGCATCCCCCGCTGCCCCTTGGAGGAAAAAAAAAGAAATTGTCGCACGAATTTTGTGATTGGAGGGTTACGCGGGACCCTCCCATCGCTACGAGCAGGGCACTCTTGCTCCTTGGTCGGTGTGGAAGACAGGTCGCAATAGCGAAGTGATGGTGCCATAAAAGCGGGTTACCGACACACAGACACCCATCACGGCTCTCTCTCTCTCTCTCTCTCCCCTCTGCTGACTTTCTCACATGACCATGACGCCCATGCGGGTTCAGATGCTCCTCGTTCGTTTTGGCATGAGTTGCTGTCTGGCTTTCCAGTCGGCTATGTACTGACATGCATGGACGGGCTCCCATCTCTCTCGAGCTCGGAGGGTGTGGAGGAACCACTGTGCTGGGCTCGATAAGGCCGGTGGGGTGGGCATGCATACGCTATGAGACTTGTTGCGTGCATATCTCGCGCATGGGTCTGTCGCTGGGCTTGCCGGGCTTGCAGCAGGGCTGGCCTCGCTGGACCTACTGTGCAGTAGTGTGTACTGTGTAGGTGGTGGTCAAGGGGGCGAGGAGGGGGAAGGGGTCGTCAGTCAAGTGGTGTATTTCGAGAATGCTGGTTGATCGCATCAGATTAGATTGGGGGTGTGTATATGCTGATGATGGTCGCTGCGTTGGACACTGGCGAACTTTTCACTTTTGTCAAAGTTTATTCGACAATGTCCTGGATCTGCGCCACCACGTTCGGCGACATGGTCAAGATTCCAGACCTCGGGTTCGTTCTGACATTTGTCTCAGTTGGAAATCATGTCCCGCTGGACAACAACCCGCGCCTGCGCCCACTCGTCGCTCTTTTGTCTCATGGATCCGGAGTTAAGTCCTGTGGCTCGCGTGAGTTCTCGGTTTGACCTCCTGTCTAGTAGGGCGCATATACAATGTATGTCGGTGATTGAACATCAACACAATGCCTGCAAAAAAAACCTAAACTGTAGTACCCAAGTCTGTGACCAGCAGGGACATCATGACACTGGCAACCTTTTCGGCTTCGGATGTGACGGTTGCAGAGTTTTCCAAATGCTGCGACAACAATGTCAGCAACGGGTCGATACTTCCACGAATGTTCTCAACAACTGCCGTGCAACCCCCTCCAAAGAAAAAAAAAGAGCAAATGGGTAAGAGAAAAGCTACTTATTGGGACGACCTGCTGATATTGCGCAAGCCGGCGGCTACCAGCATTACCTGCATATAAGCGCTGACTGGGGTCGCCCTTTGCTGCCCCCCGCGGCCCATCTCAAATCTTACGCTCTCGAGTGCCACTGAGCTGAGCATGACTACATACAGCATCTGGAAATACGGACTCAAGATGACGGCACGCAACAAAAAGCTACTTCCGTCCGATGAATAGGGGGGAGGAGGGGCGGCGCACTGGGCTACAATATGTATCACTTACAGTGTGAGCCGATCCGTACTCAGCACCCAGTGCCTAATTTGGGCCGCGCAGAATTATGTACAGTGCAGTAGCTATAAATTGCCTCGAGTGCACACACACAGAGAGAGAGATACACACGGTGTGGTGGAAGCGTGAGGGTCGAGATTGTGGCGCCTCAGGCATGTGCTACATATGTATAGTGAAAAACGCCGTAGTAATTGCGTGCAGCGGAGGAAGGCGACGGCGCGAGACATCCTAGCCTGGGTGTCAATCCCCATAACGAGGCATTCCGTGTGCAGATCCCGTAGAGTAAGGGAAGATGCGGTGTAGATGTCTGTATATTGTACAATACACGTGTCGAGGTGGGACATGGTGGACCAGCCCCCGCTGGTGCATGTACAGCACATACAGTATACAGTATGTACGTACTCTCTAGTCTGTACAACCCTTTCGCTCGAGCTCCTTGCTTCGGGACACTTGCTCAACGAGCACCTCTACGGCTCGAAACGAAGGGGTACATCACTCTCTCGAGTAAAGTGATCCAGCCGTGCATTGCGACAAGCAACATGACTTGATCGATACGACATGGTATCCTCGCCGGCCGTATACGGTTGTCCTTCTCCTATCAACGGTCGTACCGAACGCGGTCTGTCATCGAGGTCGGGCCGAGATGATTTTGCGGATCGCGGGTGATACTCCATCGTAGTGTACATACCGCATACATATCGTACTCCACCATGCAGTGTCAAGGCATGGCCCTCGTGCTGCTGATCTTGGGCATGGCTTGCATACATAAGTATATCTGACAGCCGCGATTCCAGCACAGAGGAAATCGGTGGAGTAGCCTTGCAAACCAGCCTGTGATTGGAGAGGGCCTCTGTCTCCGAGATATATCAGAACATCCATGCCCATAGCAGACGAAATACCAAAGGACCCTTGCTTTGTGAACATCGGTCAGTTGCGGGATGAGCGTTCCGGTCAATGACGAATTCATGGGCACGTGGAGATGCTGAATCGCAGCCTTGGGCTGTCCCCACATCCACGTGCCTTGTCTCCTACTGTAGACATGACAGTATGTACCTAAAACTCGATTGCGACGTATGTACAGCGACACGGCTCGTATTCTGAATACGTTGAAAAGAAAAGGCCGAATTGGCGGTGAAAATTCCGGTTTGCATCAGTATCGCGTCATGCTTTCGATATTAAAGCCATGTGCTTTTTCTTTTTGGAGGAGGGGACGGTGACGAGCGTGACATGGCGGCAGAAGATAACCTACCTGTGTACACTGCCTACCCAGTAGTACCCACGTACATCACCATTGATGGTGACACGAATGGCGCGGGAGCAGCCCAAACGTCACCTGCCGCCTTTTCAGCAGTGTGAGTCAAAGATGGGAAAGAGTTGATACACAAACCAAGACGTGAAACCAAAATATACTCTGGGGTACAGCAGGTATGGCCGAGGTCGTCGTCGAGCCCCTCCTCTTCGACCAAGGAAAGCTCGCTTATCTAATACAAAGCACATGAGAGCACGCTCTGTTCGCTCCGTGTTCCTCATTTGGTAAGGCCCGGTCACGAGACCTCCATCTCATGCGGACTATTCACAAACATTATGCTTTACCTGCACACAGCTTGCCAGACACATTCATGTTTGAAGTAAGTAGCATTGCTGTATACACAATATGTACCAGAATAACCTACTGTATGTACTGTATGTGCTCAGGATAACTGCCGACAGGGAAACCAAGTCCCGAAGCGGTCAGCGTCAGACTCCCCGTTGGGACTAGCAGGCTACAGTTAGGTTCGGGGGGAAGACAGCCGTACTATGGCACAAGCTATGTTAATAAAGCCACATTCTTTCTAGGGCCGTCAGCATGTTGGGCCCTCGTTCACCACCCCCTGGCTCTCACCCCGACTTTAATGCCACCAACCTCGTGCGAGGACCTCGGTGTTGACCGCACGGCTGGGGATCCCAGTACAATAGGGGGACAAGACGGGCCAAACAATCGGACCGTCCCTCCAGTAAGTTCGCACCAAGGCGTTACTTGGCATCGGCTGGATTCCGCGAAAGCTTCTAAGTTGAAGCCACCCAGATTGAACGGAGGTTTTCTGATTCAGAGTCCCGCAGCAGATGGCTTGTGGCTGACGGGACCACAGTTTTTTTTCTAATCGCGCTACCATCTTGTATGTATATACGAGCTCATGAGTCTGCTTGCGAATGGTTCTCCTTGATCTGCCAACCCCCCCGTCACCGGCCTGTATCGGAGAGATGCCCGGTAGTATGCATGCAGAACACCCTTTTGGATTTCGACTTAGCGTTTCCAGCACAATGGTCGAGGGGTTGAAGGGGATCAATGAGCCAGATCAAATGGCTAGCAGGTATGCAGGAATCGTTCGAGTCCTTGATGGCCTCATAGGTGGCTGGTGAGGAGTGAAACCGTCTCTGGAAGAAAATCGTATCAGGTCGTTGTCAATCATGGTAGATTTATGATGCTCCTCCTCCGGGATGCCACATTGGGTCTAGACACGTTCTGGATTTCAGTTAAGTGCGTATCGGGGAAGTGGTTGAGAGTAGGTCCGTCTCTGATCTGCCTCTGGCTCAGCAAGCAAAGCTTTCATTTCACCCGTAAGCAATGGCGTAGGTCAGCCCTCCTCGGTCGGCAAGAATCTGTCGACCTTGCTCCGAAAACTGAGACATTCACTTTCAAGCAGGAAGATCTGCTAACACGCAATGAGGGCAATCATCCTCTCTCCACAGTCTTGGCTGAGTTGTTGAGAGGTCGGTGACCATGCGATGCCCCGAGGTGACGATCGGAGTGGGTCTGAATCAGAATCGCAACAAAGTCATCTGTTTGGTATTCAGCGTTGGGGTATCTACTAAAGAAAACTGGCCGTATGAATAGTACGCCGACAAATCAACCGGCAACTTCAAAACGCTTGTGATGCTCTTCCGGGATGTTGTAGATACATTGTATTTGATTGTATATCGCCGCGTGACCGTTCTCAGTTCAAGTGCACCCTACAATACAGACAGAGAAGCAAGGCGACGCAGGACTAATGCCTGGATGCGATTTCAATCCACTAATAGTATGAATAAGTATCCGTGAGGATATAGTGATCTAGATGCTGGCGTTGGAAAGGCATTATCATGTAAAGGATGATGATGCTGTACAAGAGTTGAGGTTGAGAGCATTGCCTCGGGGTATATCGCGCATTATGCTTGCGTAACTGCTAGAATATCAAATCGTCCACCGATGCAATATGCATTTTCGCATTTAAAAGAGAGATGTACAAAGTAATGAAGATGAAGGCGCTCTGCGCCAAGTGGTGGCTAAGAAGCCGAGTTTTTTTTAGTAAGCAAGTTAACGGGCCTGGCTTTGAGCCGCGACCCAGTGACGCTCATCGTAACGGCCAGATTGAGGTGCTAGCGGGTCACGATAGGCAGGTCGTTCTGATGATGACTGGCGTGTTCCCGGCAAGTGGCTCGACTGTTGGGCTGCGTACTGCGGTGCTGGGGAAGCAGCGTGAGCTGGGGGAGCATTCACTGCAGTCCCAACGGTGGTAGTTGGATTCGAAGTAGTAGGCGGGGGGCCGGGAGGAGGCTGGTAGTTGCTGGTTCTCCTTCGTACATTGCGTTCCTCCTCGTACGCGTCTTCCTCGTCGAAATCTCCGTATGAGCCATCCGAGCCGAGGCCATCGGTAGATGAGGGGGCAAGGGAAGGCGCCACGGAGATGCGTCGAAGTCGAGGTGAAGGTGGCCTCGCGTAGTGCCTTTCAGGGTGCGGCTGTTGAAAGACAACAGACTTAAAGTAGTCTCGCTCACGTCGATAGTATTCGGCGTCTTCAAGAGCATCACGTACTTGTTGTTCAAGCCTGGATATGCTCATAGAAGCTTCCCGTTCCTTTTCCTTCCGCCTGGCACGGAACCGAGCAGATGCTCCAGCATTGCGTCTCCTCTTTTCATCGGCCACTTTAGACGCAGCCTGTACATCGACAGGAATCTGCACCGGGTGTCCATGGTGACCCTTGATAGTCATCAGCTGGATGCTGCTTTGGCTGGATGGCGCCATAGGAATCATGCTATTGCGTTCTGTTTCCATGGGAATGGAACCGTGCCTAGCATTGTGCATTTGAGCGTAGTTTCCCTGATTACTTTGCGACTCATACTGGCTGGAAGCCACAGAGGCCGCTTGACTATGGGGAGAGTACTGATTGATCGGACTGGCGCTTCCAGACTGCGGGAAGTTCATACTTGGACGACGTATCTCTCGCTTTATGTTCGGTGGCGGTGTCGGAGCGGTAGGTGGCATTGTAGGAAAGTAGGTAGGCCGATTACCCGCAGGAGGGGTAGGTAGGGCTGGCTGCAAAGTCATGGAATCGGTTGGGCGGATGTTGGCAGTCAAAAAAGGCGACTGATGAGCATCAATCGTGCCTGTCGGTGCATTGAGGAAACCGTGGCTTTGAGCTCTATGTAGCTTAGGGGACTTTGGACTCAACAAGTGCCTCATCGAAGGTCGACTGGGGGGATGAAAAGAGTTTGTGGCATTATGGTCCTCTTGGGTAGAGTCCACACTCGTCGGTCGGCTGATGGATGGAAGGCTTTGCGAGTGATGTGTGTGAACAGGTGACGGTGATTCCATCTGGGAAGCACTACGCCTTCTACTATGTTGCTGATCCCCTAGTTCAGCCTGAGGATTTAGTATGGAGTGTACACCGAAGGGATTGCCATGCCTCCGATCAGGAGTGGGCGGGGTTTTAGAAAGCTGACGTAGCGGCGGAAGTGATACTGTGGAGTTTGGCGGGCCATCCCGTGGGCTGTTTCTGTACGGTGGTTGCATTGGAGGATAGCTCTGTGCAGGCGACATCTGAGGCGTCGAGTGACCCGGACGAGAAGTTCCACTCAACGATGTTGACATGGAGAGAGTATCCTCAGAGCCCCCGTTACCACGATGACCCGACCATGAGTGGTTTGGCTTGTAGTCGTTGATATATGGTGGAGTCAAGGCAGACGGGAATCGATGTGGGTAATGAGAGTGAGGGGCTTGAATAGCGGGGATCGTCTGAGTAGCCAGTGTGGTGGACTGATTGGGTCGTCTGAGAGACAACCCTTTGAGCTATGAAGGGTGGTGTTGATGGACAAACCGAGGACAAGAGTGGGAAGGGTCTGGACTCTTCAGAGAATCTGAAGCGGGAATAAGGTAAGAGGCGATGATTAGATTCCAGAATGGATAGATTCACGCGTCGAGTGGGGGACGAATAAGGTGCTATCCTTATCCTAGGTACGAGCAATTGGCGACAGTAGGAGCAAGGCTGAGCATCAGGGAAGGGAATGAGGCGCTGGGAGAAATGAAGCTGCAGCGTACCGGGAACTGGTGAAGGGTTTGGAGTCGAGATGTATGCAACGCCCGCAATCGGCAGTGAGCGCGCCAGGATGCGGGTGTGATATATAAGATTTTGCGGTGTACTGGTCGGAGGATGGCTGGCCGGGCAGCAAATCATTGCAAGTGCAAATGCCCCTGTCGACGCCTGGCCATGTTGCGCGAGACGAAGGGCAGCAAGTACATCATGCCTTGTCGGCGGCTTTGGAGGACGCGCTAGGCGGCCATCTCACCAAGCCAGGATATGCTGGCCTGCCTGTGCACGCACGTCTTCGCACTACTGCATGGTGGACACTGACGATGCGCGGAAGCGGAAGACCTGACCAACAACCCTTTCCCCCCTCACCGTCACCGCAGGAGTGCGCACCGGGACGGCCAAGGAGTAGGTAGGTAGAGAGAGACATGGCCGGCGCCCAAACCGACGTAAGCGCAAGTCCCGGCGGCCGCACCCTGCAGCGCTAGAAACTGGCTCGCGGGCTACCGTACTGGCCGAAATCACTTACATCTTACCCCTCGTCCTCGTCGACATCAACCATCCCTCTGGCCGCTGTCCTGGACTCTCCTGGCGTTTGTCCTGCAGCTGGGGCGGGGAGGGGGGGGCGCCCGCTTTTGTTGGCCGCCACAAAGCGTGTCCGTGGCTGGCGGCACTGCAACCGTCCTCGAGCTGCTCGCTGCTGGGCATGTGGCGGGTGGGGCATAAAAGTGTGATGCGCACACCCGTGTCTCATCGTGCGCCCTCCCCCCCCTAGTACATCCTTCGCTTGCCCTTTACAGGAAATCATGTCAGTACCAGGTACTCTGGTAGACAGCCTCTGTTTTCCTTCTGTTGACGCGCCTCATTGGCCACGAGCCCCCATTCCAAAATGCCCCGAGACGCTGCATTGTACCGCATGTGCCATCGCACGCCGCACGTAGGCAACGTTTGCGAACGATACTATGTGTAAGCCCGGACGTCGTGGTCGTAAGTCGCTTCGTGCGTCGGTCTGTGAGCCCCATAGTCTAATTCTCCATGTCTAGCCTCGCTGCTGGTTTGGCGTCTATATCTGAAGCCAGGTATCAGTATGTGTGTGAGAACATCCTGGGAGCACATCGCTGTTACAGGGCCATCAACCGCGGACAACTCTGCTCCCGTTCGGCATACATAGAACAGGTAACAACCATACACAAATCATGCAGCCATGCTAATGCGTCCACGACAAGCAGACAGATCCGCCCACGACAACGTGCCTGTTACAATAGGCAGAGGTTCCTGGGATTCACTGCGGTGGGGGCCTTTTTACTATAGGTAGCTCATCTGATGTATGCCATCATGTCCAAGTGTCAAGGGCATGGTGCTTGATCTGATGTATGACAACATACATATGCTTGACCTACCGTCGCGTTTGTCCAGAGTGCCGTGATAGATCTCTCCATGTGGTTGGGGTGGCCCAGTCATCTCATCGGAACTAGAGCTGTCAGTGAGACTCGACATGTTGGACAGGATCTGTCCTCTCCAAAGCGCAAGTCAAACTCCTCGGTTGCAACATATGCGTAAACGTCATGCCCTTGGAACCCAGGAAATCACAATACCGTCTGCAGGAACCTAGTCACCGCTTACTTTAGACGGGCTGACAAGCTCGCCGTGGATACTTGATGCTATCGATCAATCATTATATTCATTGGTGGAGCGCCAAAGGCAGGGCTGAGGCCGAGCCATTGCCAGAAAGCGGTAGCGGCACGATCCAAAGATCGGCCACGTAATAGTATAGAGTAGACCTATTCGCCTTGGGGATAAGCAAGTCGTTGCAGACATGTTGGCTGGCTGAAATGTTCCCCGTGGCCATAAGATGTGTGCCTGCATGGCCCGACAATGCGAGAGCTGGCCTTTCGCATGGTAGACAGCATGTATCCACGTACTGTATAAGCAGATGCTTCTATCACTTGGCCTGACAGTGTCAGCTTTGCTGATTGTATCTTTCATGGTACGAAGGCGACTGGCACAAGGCCACTGTATTCTGTTGCTAGGAACTATCCGTTCCTGTCCTGACCGCAGCGCAGGATTGGGCGTCCTTCACGGTGCTTGCGGGTTGTGAACTAATCGGCAAGCGGCATAAAGCAGACCAAGTCATCGAGATGGTACGGACCGTCACTTGGGCTGCCCGCTCTTTCCATGGTACTGCGTGACGCCTTGGCCCTTGGTTTGCTTTCGTCTTTTGTGGAGGCGAAAAGCCTTCTCGTGAACACGCCTCGGTCAGGGATGAGAACCTGAAACGTCATAGTCGGTCTGTATCCAATGCCATGGTCGAGACTGCGCCATAGATTTATCTGAGTACATCATCTCCACGAGTTTCTTCGCTTCCAGACTGTCGGTTGCATGACGAACCAGGGCGTCCAGACCAGCTCGCCTCGGCTTTGCCATGCCATGCCATGCCATGTCGTAAGTCTGAGGGTGATGAGGATGAAGTATGTAGAGACATGGATTACCAAGCAGAGCGCGCTGTCAAGGAAAACTCGTTTCTGCCACTCTGCAACGGCACTCCGGGAACCAAGTTATTTTTCTGACATCATCGTCATCATCGTCATCGGCCGGGGAAGACTGTTGAAATGTCGGATGCTACCCGATACCTACACGTCGCTCATGTGCATTACCTACTCGCGGTGGCGCTGTGTCAGTTCAATCATCCACCCAATACCTACCGTACGGGCTGGAGTCTCGGCCGGCTGTCAACCCACCGGGAAGCGTTATAGGGAATCAGGATACCAACCCACATACCCTGTTGTGCGTGAGGCGAAGAACGGTGATGGCCAGATACAGAGAGGTTGTGAGGTTGCGGTGTGGAGCACGTGAAGCGACGTCTTTTAGCGCGTCATTACCAATGGTAGGTACGGTGGGTAGGTAACAAGGCAGGAGCGAAGGGTCAGGTTCAAGCTTCAGTCCGGTTTATCGACGACCATGCACTTTTGCCTTCTCCCTCTCCCTCTCCCTCTCTCTGCCTCCACGACACTTACTCTACATGTATACCAATACACACCATGATCTCTGTAAGCCAATACATCTCATTTTGTTTTTAATTTTTGAGTCTGTAAGTGCAACATGTACCTAACCCGCCTAGTGCGCGCTTCTCTCAGAGTAATCAACGCAGGCATACTCAATACACTGTCTCCCTCGTCTCGCTTCTTTGTACACCGTAGGTACACGGTACATGTAGTTAGGACCACGGTGGAGTAGGACCTAGTACTAGGTGCAAGGCCCAATGCACATCTGCCAAATCGTACCCTCTCAATTCCCCAAGACGGATTCCAAGCGGGGCCGCTCTCGAAGCGGAACTTGCGGCATCCCATCCTTGAATCCCTGCAGCGGACGGTCCGGGTTCTTGTTCACTGCTACTTGACACCCGGAGGGCTTGGACGGCCCCCTATTGGATCCACCGAGAATGCAGTTACCTACGCGACAATATCAGTACGTGCAAGCTACGCTCAAGAGTCGGTGTAGGCCTACGTTGCTGACCAAAACAAGACGTAAGACAATCTACATCGACCTGGCTCCAAATTACCTTTGACACGCCCGAATCTGGCTAAGTTCCAAAGGTACGGCATCTCCCTCCTGGGATCTGATCATAACGGGCATGTTATGATTCAGGGTAAAAAAACAGCGTATCTGACCCTTGTAGTGCCAAATGTACCAGTACATACCTACTACACAGTATAGGATTGAACCCCGTCTCGCACATGGATTTTGCTCACCTAGCTTGACATCTGGCACACAACCGCATCCTGCTTGTCCACATGCTTTTTAGTCAGCTTCACCTGACCAGAAGGTCATCACTTTCAGCCCTAAGAGATCTCGCGAAACAGCGTGCATGAACTGCTGATCTTATCTCGCATCCGCATCCTTTGGCGCGTAAACTGTATTTACTTGTAGGTTGTGCTGAGAACCTTGACATTAGTCGTAACCTGAATACTAGCCTTACTGCGGAGTGGTGTTAAGATCAGTGTCCGTGGCTAACGGAGAATAGCGCTCGCCGCGCGATGGATAGTATCAGAAAAAAAAGACCGAGTCCAGATCGCCCGTTGGCTCCGCACAATCCTTCAAAAGCCAACCCAGATTGCAGTGATGGACAGCATCGTAGGCGACTGGTGTCATAGCTTATTTGACACAAAGCATTGTGAGCCCGCGAAAGCGCCTTTCGATGAACCAAAATTAGGCGGGTGTACTCAATTTGGAATTCCGTGGACCGAAGTCATCTGTTTGGGAAGAGAGCCCCATTGGAAACTATGTTTCACGTGTTACGATTGAATGCTCAATTGACATAGTGCGACAGTACCAGGGCAAATATACTGTTCACGCCAGGTACTATAGTTAAATTGCACATACATGATATATTAACACGCAAATTACTGTGAACCCTCATTGCTATAAAAGACCTTCAGCCCTATATATGATCAAGTAGTTTCAGAAGTTCAAATACCTAAAGGAATACCATTGTGAGTCCTAGTTAGTAGAAATCATGATATATGTGTAAGAATACACGGCCATAAGGAGTATGTCGAGGTGTGCTTACCAGGCTGTGTCCAGATCGACCTCAATAACTCACGTCATGCGATGTACGGTGTACGTACCCCAACCACTTGGTAAGCTACTAACAACGCACTGTTTTTTCGATGCAATTCGGGCATTCTCCAACCCCGGCATCATTCCATTCGTCCCAGTAAGCTGCTTTGCCATAAGCTACGGCTGTCGTTTAGCTTGATCCGGCATTTAAACGCCTGATGCAGAATTGAGGATGAGGTCCAGGGGAGTTGTTAATTGTCCTCGCCACAATAGACCAATCGTCCTCGCCCGTCCTATCTAGGTATAGCTAGAGTATTAGTGGGTTAGTAGAGAATATAATCTATCTTACTAAGTAAGGGGGAGCGCGTTTTTTATATATTCCATATCCCTTACTCTATACTAACCCTAACCCTACCCTCACTTTTACCCTACTACACCCCATGCTCTAGATACCCTAGTACGGGCGAGGACGATTAGTCTATTGTGGCGAGGACAATTAGCACTTCCCGAGGTCCAGGGATGATCACGAGGCAGGGTCCACAAACCTTTCTTTCGGACCTATTCGTTTGCTTCCAAAGAGGTAAACATCTCTCGCGCCGGGACAGCGCGTGCTGCGTGCGCAAGTTGGAGACGACAGTTGGAAACAGGGCTAAGGACTTCGTAACTGGGCAGGCATATGCCTTTCGCATGGAAGGTCACCCGGATGTCGCAAGCCATCAACGGCGACATTGGATTTGGCCATTGGATGCCGAAAGCTGACCGCATACTAAAGTAGGATATTGGGTCTCAAATAGCCAGGCATCGAGAGCACCTACGGGTGGGTATTCACATGTGTCATTATCATTTGCGGCTTCACAACCCTGCATCTCCAAACCACAGTGAATTCAAGACAGTTCCTACACTTGCTGACTTCGGCGACCAGCGTCATCTGGGTACCTACAGATGATAGCCTGTATGATCAACCATTCTCTCCAAACTGCAAACACCGCTACTCCAACCAGGTCAATCCCAACACTGCCACGTACCATCTTACAAATGGCCATACACTGTTTGCTTCAAGAGGTTATCGGGGATGCCTAGGTGGAAAAAGGGATATATCCGGCTGTGCCCAGCATCAGATACCAAACGGACCGACGGCAGCTCGACATATACGATGGCAACACGCGTGTGCACAAGGTACACAATAGACAGTGATCGTTCCAATCCGGGTGTCAGCACCGTCAATGTCAATCCATCTTCACGACTCTCGGGAACCTGTCGACGAAGACCCAAGGGAAAGCTCGCCACCCGCGATTACCCCAGCACTAGTCATCATCCTCCCACTCCCCCTCCCCTCCCTCGTCTCGATCTCGGTATGCACTTGTACTTCTGGGTCAACCAAGATGGACCCCACACACAACCTTAAAGACCCCACATGCGGCTCTACTTCCTCTTTCCATCTAACCGCTCTTCGGCCCACCACCCTCGCTTTCCAGCCCTCCCCTCCCCCACGGCCCGTTTTGTTTTGTCTATCCAAGGTCTATCAAGTACCGAGCTCTAACGCTTTTACACCGTTGTCCGCGCCCCTCGTGGCGCCCAACTCCCTGCTCTCCCTCTCCCTTGTGCAAGGCGGCCGGACGCGAGCTCGGAAGGGCCTTCCGGCCTAATAACGCAAGACTGGAATCCTTCCTGTACCACTTTTCTCTTGCACCAAAAAGCCATCTCATCCTGCCCAAGCGGTCATTCTGCTTTCCTCGGAAAAACCTCCTTGACGCTACCAGCGGCCCACGCCCATCGTGCATGTCGTAGACACCGCTAGACAAGCATGCCACGTACAACGCTGTGCGTGCATCGAAGTTTGTTTTTACCGATAGTGCAATCTACCACGCCCTCGGTGCACTGCGACCCTTTTCACTTGAGGTCTGGATTGTGACGTCGTAATCCGTTTTTTCTTCTTTTGCTTGGCTCGAGCCTTCAGTCCGGAAAAACAAGCACTGGTTCGATCACTTGACGAGCAGTATCGTTGCTGTGGTGATGAAAGTTTTTCTCTATCGTTGCGGAGCAGTAGGTAAAGGCAGGATTGCGATCTCAAGATTGGCTTCCCACAAGCGATTGCGATGCGCCCATCTGCACTTGTCGGTTGCATCGGCTGTGGGGTCCACGGCGCAGATTGACGGCCCAGGAACAAGATTGGTGGGAGGGAGCAGCCGTGCATTTACCTATAGGGCTGGCGATGTGAATGAGTGAGCGGCAGTCAACTTCCGGTGCGACCCAATGTTGACGAGATAAGCACGCAATACTGGATGGATGGAAAAAGCCCTTGCTCAGATTCCCTTCGGCGCACAAGCCAGACGTCACTTTTACGCATATAGCCCCTACTGGAGGATTCTTCACCCCGGTGAGCATGCTCTTTCCGTCATCTTGGTGCAAGGAGACGCATGAAATGGGAATTGTTTTGCGCGTCCAGGTCCCCCCCCTGCATGTCTATTTCGTACTATTTGGTAGTTATTTGGCGCGCATTTTGAAGACTGAACTGACTAGCCATGGCATAAATCTACTATTGTATGCATGCCCTTTTCTGCGGGCGGGATCCTTGGCGGATCCAAGTATGCCTCACTTCTGAAAGTTGCAAGACTTGTGCGAGTCACGATAAGCAGGTATCCAGTATGTACTGGTGACACCCTGTGTAATAGGAGGAACTTGGCGTCACGACTTCGCTTAAGACACACCTGAAGTCTCGTGAAGTCTCGTGAGCAATTTGCAAGCTGAATTTTCCGTCCAATGAGGATAGCCGTGATGAGTTGTATACGAAAACGTGATGCATGTAACGGTCTCTGCGACGCATCGCTTTTTAGATGAGGATAGGATTGGAGACGGAGCATTGGTCAAACATTCCGAGAGGATGATGAGAAATGTAATCTGAAGACGGCTTCAGTATACAATAGCTGCTCGATCGACCGCAAGTACCAAGTTATAAAGAATATGTTCTAGATTTTACAAGAGTAGCGAGGGTGGGATGCTAGAGGATGCGAAGAGCAATGAAAGACCCCTGAAGCATGGTTCAACAAAGAGAGAACATATATACAAGAGTTCGACGTTACCATTGGTTAACATAAGAAGCTACCGAGAGTATGATCCCCTTAAGTCAGTGTTGTGTTTTTAGATAATATATCTTTGGCTTCATCATGCAGCATGGTGATTTTGAAGTGAAGAGTGATGGAATCTTCTCTGAAGGTCACTACCACTTGTGGCGTAAATTCTTATCATGAAGAACTCTGCTTGCGAACATGAGCAAAGAGCCAGTAGTGATTGCAGCACCCTTTCTCTGTTAGCCTTGTCCATTCATTTCCCATCTCGACTCACTGAGAAAACAATCAACCACCGGTACCCTTCCTTCGTCCCAGCATCCGTAATGAGCGCGCCACCAACCGGTGTACCCACGAGGCTGGCGATGGCGATGACGCTGTAAAATGCTCCCATGCGAGAACCCAGCCGATCGTCTGGGGTGATCTGCCCAATTACCGACAGTGGAAGGGCAGTAACGCTACTCGCACAGAATCCATAGACACAGACGAATAGAATGAGTGTGGCGAGAGAGTCACTATATGACCAGAGAAACAGCGAAAGGCACCCTAAGACCATTGCTACGGGCCATAAGAGATTGAGTCGGCCAATTCGGTCACCAAGAAGCCCTCCGCTACTACTGGTAAGCACTGAAAAAGTGACGCATCATGGCCATGACTTACAAGATAGCACCCGCGATGCTGCAACCGTTGAGCATGCACAAGAAATACTGGGTAATGTTGTTGCCAGGATATACCGCGCTGGCATAGCTCTCTGGATGGAACTTCAGTATGCTGGTGAACCTTCTTTGCAGCGGCACATGTACGTACTGATGTAATATGAAGGTATCCACATGCCAAGGACTGCAAACCAAGTGCCAACGCAGAGCACGCTGTATCTGCGATCCAAAAAGCCGCGGAAGTCGATGAGTGAGCTGCAGTTTCTTCGACTGCCTTTGGCATGACTAGGTTTGCTTGTTGAGATCAAGAGGGCAATCATGTAGCAGACACTGGTTACATTAGCCCCGAATGATAGATTTCCAACACGTACCACCACTTACCCAATCTTCACAGAAGCTAGGCGCAAGGCATTTGAGAAGCCAACACTGGGCAGTAATCTCTCGAACATCAAGGGGAATCCGATTCCACCTAGAGCGGAACCTGTCGTCACAAGCCCCATGGCTAGAGCTCGTCTCTCCTTGAAGTGTTGGCCGACGACTGTCAGCGCCGGCTGAACTCCAAACGCTATAGTTAAGCCCATCAACAGGCCTTGCGTCATAAAGACGGCCCAAAATCGGTTCGGTTGAAGAAAAGAAAGCAGAATCAAAGCCGATATTGTCCCTGCACCAGAACCAGCGTACAAATACTAGTTGTGTCAATGGAAGGCTCAGTCTTGGGCTTCCAGAACATATGCTAACCTTGACTCCATATAGATCGCACAGAGCACCAGAGACTACAGCAAGGGAATTCATGAGTGCCATTTGCATGGTACCTATAAGGGCAATCTGGGACAAGGGTGTCTCGTGGAGAAACTCGGTATGGTAGAAGTTCTGGAAGAAACCAAAGCTATTCATGACTCCGAATGAGGCATAGTAAACAAGGATCGACCCGAGGACTGTGAACCAGGCCACGGCACCGCCTTCACGCTCCCCCATCTTGCATGATTCGGTATCGGTTGTGCTTCCCGAGGGGAGACGCTTGAAGCTGTCGCAATTTTTCTCAGACATTGCGTATTCGTGTGACGGGTAAGAAGTTGACTGCAGCTCACATTCCAAAGTTGCATGGCGCTCTAGTTATACCCTACAGTTTTGCAATTGGACATAAATACACGACTATCCCCAACTATGGCTTCAGAATGTGTTGTCACCGGGTTGCTCGAAGAAATACGGAAGGATAGCTATCGGAAGTTTGCCTTTGGACTCGGAGCTGCTTCCATGGTCCCGGTACGCTGAGCGCATTCTTGGCTTGGTTTTTGGAATGTGAAGTTGTATCGAACCTTCAGGGTCTCTCTAGGAGCAGGAATATGGGGTGCAGATCATGCTTCATCTGGGTGGACTATGGCTTCCCGGCGTTTCTCAACATCTGGGAGACAGAACCTCCTGACATTGTACTGCAATTGTCTGCTGTACAGCACAAGCCGGATGGAGCACCTGAACAGACGAAAAGCTGGTTGATTGTCCGCTGAGCTCGTCATCTGAATCGGCGAATGGGAGACGGCTAACCGTATGAAGAGTGAAGTGATACGTCCGGACAGCACTCATAACATCTTAATCACACTCCAGAGTCGTTTGTGTTACGATATATCTCCTTTGCAGCACAATGTGACTATGTCACCAGCTCTGAGGTGAAATCTGGCTCATCCTGTCGGGCTCCTACTTTGCACGTCATTTTTTTGTGGCCAGGAATGTTGCCAAAGGACCACTGCAAGTCCCGAGGAGTAGCCATGACATGAGGGATCCGTTGTGGTAGAAGTTGATTCGAGAAGCAGCAAGCACTATGCCAGTATGGAAAAAATTGTACCACACGTTGTTCGTCGGGAGCATATCGACGATGAGCATACTTCTAGCGCTCGTGTTCCTCAATGGATCGTGCGCATCCGATGGCCTCCCTTGAGCGCTCTGGAGCAACCCTTTTGCGTCCGTCGACTAGGAGACAAGGCCTATGCGACCTTAGCCATTAAGAATCTATGATTATGGTTACTGAGGTTGTGTCTAAGGATCACAGGAAGTTTCAGTTGAAGAAAATAAGTAATGTTCAACCTGGGACAAGAACGTCGAGTAGCATCTGCGTCCTCGAGTCGAGTGTAGTTTGATAGAGTTTGTAAATACTAAGTTCAATAGCTCTAGTTCGGCCTCTCCCATCAGTGGGGGGATGATTCTAGCACGCAAGCTGAGGAGTAAACAAATCTGGGTACGCCTGCACCTTCATCATGCGCTGGAACCGTCGACATTTGACTTCATTCATCATGCATAGTATTGACGCATCTCAACCGTCATTCACTACCATTACTGAAATGCTCGGTAAATTCTTGGAAATCGTATAAGAGATATGTGCCATTTGTTGCTGTTGGGGGGCCCACACCGAAGCGCAGATGATGTTGAATGTCGGACGCGGGAATACCGGTAACAGTTTCCCGCCTGCAGGTAGCCAGCCGATCACAGTCTGCAGTACATTTGTGTCGATGCAGAGTGCCGTAGGGCCGTTGTCGGATGCAATATGAAAAAGAAGCGCAGATGAGGATGATGTCGATGACATCGGCGCGGCGGCTCGATGACAAAGGTACGGTAGGTCGATACCATACCGGTACATGCTGTCATCTTAAATTAGCGTGCTTTCCGCCGTACGGTATCGCCCCTCATTACCCCCAGTGTCAAGTCCGTTCCTCAATCACTGCATCATTCCCTGATTTGTTTCCAAGATGCCGCAAGAGGAAGCCCTTGAGAAGACCGAGTGGTATGATGAAACCCCCACAGAGGACAAGATACCCGAGGAGACACGACAGCTCCTGGAGATGTACAGCGGCATACCGGCGAAGGATGTCTTCGACCACGTCGTCAAAGTGCGCGACGAAGCATTCAAAATCTTTCCATATCCATGTATCGGACAATTTAGATTCTTGGAGCCAAGCTTTTCCGAGCTGAGAGAGGAGTATGATGAGATTGTAAAGCGTCTCTCAGAAGGCCAGAAGTTGCTCGACATGGCGTGCTGCTTCGGTCAAACAATTCGCCAGCTGGTCGCGGGTGGCGCACCCTCAGAGAATATTTATGGATCAGATCTTCAGTCTGGCTTCATCGAGCTAGGCTACAAGCTTTTCAAAGACCAAGGCAAACTGCAGACCGAATTCTTGGTGGCCGATATTTTCGACCCCAGCTCAGCTTTGACCACCGTGAAAGGCGAAGTTGATATAATTTTTGCTGGATCTTTCTTCCATCTCTGGGGCTATGAGAAACAGATCGAGGTCTCCAAAGCTGTTGCCGGTTTGCTGCGGCCGGTACCAGGATCCATGATTCTCGGTCGTCAAATTGGCGCCATTACTGCTATTGAGAGGACCTCTGCTACAGGAACGATGTATCGTCATAATGTTGAGAGCTTTCGGAGGATGTGGGAGGAGATTGGTAACAAACTCGGAGTCAAATTCAGCGTCAAGGCAGAGTTGAAAGAGCTGGCTAGCGATCATTTCATGTTACATACCGACGACACGAGACGACTATGGTTCGTCGTCCGACGCGAATAGCCTTGGATATTCGCGTTCAAGATTCGTCCTGAATTTTTGATCATACCAGAAGACTTGAAGACCTGATATGGACGTTCTGTATTGCCTTCCTTTATTTCAAGGTGCGCCTGCTGCCATAGCATACCCAAAGATATCTTGTCGATACAGACAGGGCGTGCAGACATCTTGACCGCTTCTGGGTGTTTCTGGCCCTTGTGGAGTGTTGCAGCACCTGTACAGATTAACTTCGTATCTGAGATCTGCCCGTGAATGGGATTAGAGGCCATTTCAACAACAATCCGTCTCTGGACGCATATTGTCTTATTGCTATTGTTGCACGGTAGGCTCAGTATGGTACGCTTAACATGTGTTTTGCCGGTACATGGGACAGGATAAATTACCTACCTTACACCGGAGAGCTCGTCCAGATTTCACTATGCATATATTTACCAATACGCCATTCGATATTCTCTTTGAATCTTCTTTGGCCGGCTAATATGACTCTGCATCGGTTTCCCAGGACCGCCTCGGTACGACCACACGCCAGGCTATAGGCAACAAGGCGAGATTTCTCAGTAGCTTGTTGAGGTTCGACAGCTTGCACAATTCTACCGATGAAAAAGCTTATTTGCCTCGTGTTTCTATATGGGGGACTATACTACGCGCGGTCCAGCCCACGGCGCTTCATCGTGGGCAGCGACATACCTGCTCAGCGTTCATCTAAACTGAAATGAAACGCGCAATGGCACGCTGACTTCAGCCGCTTCATTCACCAGACGGTATTTTAGGTTGGGAGCCCTTTCAGATGTCGTATAAGAGCCAGTTTCCTAGATCATTCGTCATTGTTCATCCGTGCCTTTGCCGCCTCTTGCATTTCTCGGTAGTGTTCGCGATTTCCCCCAACTATCAACATGAAACATTCTTTAATCCTCGCTGTGACAATCATTGCGAGCGTAGACGCGGCTGCTTTCAGACCCAGGCAATTCGGACACCCAGATGGTAAGCCTCTGTAGTCGAATCGAATGGAACTAACCGGAGGTTACAACATGGCCGCCTTGCGTTCCGCATTATGATAAAGAAAAAGACATGGGCTGCAATAAGTTCACACTGAGACTGACTTCTTGACAGTATCTGAGTGCGGGCTTGACGCATTTGAAGGCCACACCGCTGAAGCATTGCTTTTTTGTAGTAGCATTCTAAGATCTGGAACTGCGACCTCAACCGTCACTCGCGGTGGCACTACGACTACAACCTCAACAAAACTTACTACAACTACTATTTACCCTTCAAGCAGTCGCAGACCGACCCCTACGGCAACTCCTACGACCACTCCTACGGCCACTCCTACGCCGATGCCAACACCTACGCCAGCTCCTCCGGAACCTACACCCACACCAAGTTCCATGCCGACGCCATCATCCCTTTCAAAGGTATCTATAATAGTGTGAAAATGGGTGACATCAAGCTTACAGTACGAACAGTCCTCGTCAAACCCTCTACCACCACCACCATCATCATCATCATCATTGTCTGCATCACCATCCTCAAGGCCATCCTCAACAGCTACTCCTACACAATTTTCATCAACACTACTGTCATCAACCCTTGAATCAATCCCTTCGCCGTTAGTCTTCAATAATGTACAAATTTGACAAACTACCTCTCTAACAATGTCTTAGATCTCCCACCAGCGGTCCAGGCTGTGGTATCGTCGCCTACGTTAAGACAACAGCGGCCTACTACTTCGAATCCAGTGGCACTAAAAATACGTTTGCCGCCTGTGGTGCCCTCTGCAAAGCCGATGCAAAATGTAAATCATTTGGTTACGGAGAGGCAAATTGCATGCTCTTCGATGTAAACGCGTATGTCCTGTCCTACGATTGTCCCTGGGTTTCTCATCCCTCTATCTTTCAACGTCCAATCTATACCAACCCAATCAATATACTAACCTATCCCCAAGTGCTGACAACACAAATTACAATCCAATGTCCCCATACACCTTCTACGACGTGACCTGCCCCACCGAACTCCCTGTGCGCAAACGCCAACTCGGTATTACGCTTGGTGGACCTGGCGGTGGTATCGCTATATCTCTTAACATTGGCGGACCGAGGCAGATTAGCTCGGCGTGTAGCTGCTTGATCACGAGTGGACCGGCTGCTACGACGATTACGAGGACGGCGACGAAAGAAATGGTAAGGACGACCACGGTTACGGGGGTTATTACAAGAACCGCTGTAGGTGGGTTGTGATAAAAAGGGGTGGGGAATAGAATGGGGCAAATGAGAACGATGGGACCACAAGGATAGTGTAACGACTCAGGTAGGTAGGGCATCCGAAAGGTATCCTATACGACTTAAAGGCATATGGGAGTGCGCGTCTGTACAGAAAAGGATAAGATTCCTACATCTATAGGTCTTGTACGAAAGGATAAGAAGAACATACCTATCCTAACTATAGGCAAGCAGTTCTCTATATATATTAGTAAGTCAGGCCTTTATTAGGCCTAACTTAGTATAGAATAATAGGCAGGTAATTCTACCTTATTATTACACTACCCCCTCCTATAGAGAAAGGATAGTTCCTATCCTTAGGATTAGGTTTAGATCCCTTATTAAAGAAGAGCTTTTTAAAAAAATAATTCTACCTTTACCTCTACCTTTACCTTTACTTCTTCTTCCTAGGGTACAGACCCCTATCCCTAGCCTGTATATAACTAGCCCTCTACCTACTAACTTTCTTATTCTTATATCCCTAATTTTTTAAATATTTAACCTAATCTATCTAAAATCTAATAAGTATTTAATCTATATAATTAAATAGTTACTAATCTAAATTAGAACCTTTAGCTATGCTAGTACTAGTACTACTAGGAGTTCTCCCTATTACTTATCGCGCTCTCTATATAAGGGCAGTTAGGGCTCTAGCTAGGGGTAGGTTTAATAATTTTAATTTTAAGTTAAAGAATTCTAAGAAGTGCTAGTACTATATCTCCTAGAATAAGTATTACAATCTAGTAAGTATCTAAGTCTAATAGGGTTCCTTTACTAATTCTAGTAGATTCCTTCTTTTATTAGCTAAGAGTACTCTACCCTTAAGGGTGCCCTAGAAGAGTACTATAGCCTAATAAGAAACCCTACTAAAGGGGATAAGGATAAAGAGGCTATAGTTACTTATTAGAAGGATATTAAGTAGTTTAAGGCTACTATTTAAGAAACTACCTAAAACCTAGCTAAGTATATTACTATTACTAATATTTAAACTAAGGGTATAGAAGCTACTAAAATCCTTATAGCTACCTATTATACTACTATATCTAATTTATATTAGCTTTAAAATAGTATCTATAAGATAGTCTTAGTAGTTAGGGGCTTAATAAGGGCTATTAATAAACTTAAGAAGGAATTAGCACTAAATTAGGAGGTAACCTTCCTAGTATAGGCTAAGATAAAGGTGTTCTATAAGAAGGAGTCTAAATTAGTCCTAGCTCCTATCCCTGCTCCCGCACCTGCTACACTAGTTATCTAGAAGCTAGCAAAGAAGGATAGTCTAGGTGCTATCTTAGCTAATATAGAGTCTAAACTAGGTTTTAATAGAGAGATAGATATAGAATAAAGAGGTTTCCTAGGGGTAGTGTCCTAGGAACCTTAAAGGATCTAAATAGGATATAATAATAAATAGTAATAAGAATAATAGTAATAGATAGTAGTTAATAAATAATACGTAGCTAAATAGGATATATATTAGTTCTAATATTAGGTATAATTATTATAAAGTAATATTAGATCCTTCTTGCCCTTTTCCTAGGCTTAAATCTATTTTAGTAAGCTGCGTAAGGGACCTAGCTAATTTAGATACTATTAGTAGAATGCCTATAATTTATAGGGAGCACCTATAAAGTTAGAGGCAGGATACTAAATAGGATTAGGATTATATCTAACCTACTTAACCTTATATTTTAGCTTAGATTAATATAATTTGCTAGCTAGGATTTCTTCTACTTCCTATTCCTCTACACCTTATATAGGTGTACTAGGGGGTTTTAGAGCCTCTTATCTAAGTAATAGGTCTTAGGGATCTTTGTATAGTATATTAGGAGAGAAAACGTTATAGATCTTAGAACTAGGTAGTAATTAGAGGCAATACGCGTTTCCTACTTATTCTAATACCTTAAAGGGACCTTCCTATTATTTAGATAGTTTTTAGCTAGGTTATAAAATAGCAAGATTAGTAGTAGATAGATAAATATAGTTACTAACCTTCTAGTTAACTAGATAGTAATAGTAATTAGTAGTAGAGCGTATTTAGTCTTAAGCTCTTTCTATATTTTCTTTAGTAATCTTCTAGGCGTTGTGTATCTAAGTAGCAAGGGATAAGGCGTCCTTATAGTTTAGTTTCTCTAGTATAGTAGATAGGGTCTTTTCTAGTTTCTAATACTAACTTTGCTTTAGTAAGGAACTAAAGAGGAGCTAATATAGAGCTATACTAATAGATAAATATAGAAGAGTACTTTAGGCACAGTCTATTATAGGTAGTAGGTTACTCTAGTTATCTTAGTAATAGGATATAAAAGGCCTTAGTCTCTAATTAATATACTTATTTATAATTTTAGTTTGTCTATTAGTTTATTTATAGTAGGTAGTAGAGAGCTTAACTTTAGTGCCTATAATCTAATAGAACTTAGACTAGAAACTAGATATAAACTAAGGGCCTTAATTAGAAATAATAGTATCTAGAGTATGTCTAAAATAGTACACCTACTAAATAAATAAGGTAGCTATACCTTAGGCGTTTATAGTTTTATAGTAAGGGATAGTAATAGCTTGCTTTAATAGGTAATTAATAATAACTATAATCTAATTATAACTATATTAATCCTAGGGAAAATCCTTAAAATTAATGTATAGGTGTTGCATTAGTAGACTAGAGATAGGAAGGGGGTAGAGCATGCTAGGGAGTTAGTGCTATCTTAGGTACCCTCTCCTATATAGGATACAGTTCTAAATATAGCGTTTATAGGTAGTCTCTATACCTTTCTAGTAGTAATATTAGGCTAGAATCTAATAGGTTTTAGTAGCTAATAGGTAGGTAGTAGACACTTAATTATAAGCCTTACGAATTAGTCTAGTATATAGGACTAATCTAGTAGGCACGCAAAGTTAATCCTAGTAGAGAAGGAGTCTATTTTCTATCTAATAGTGCTTAGGCAACTCTAATCTTTCTATTAGGAATAAGGACCTATTTTCTTAGAGAAGAGTTTTAATAAGTTCTAGGGATCTAAGAGTTATAGGGTTCTAAACTACTATAATTAAAGTAAGGATTAGTAAGGAACGCTTAGCTAGGTAGTCTTGCGCTAAGTTAGAGTTAATTTAGGGGTATAACCTATCTAGGGTAATTATTACTTATAAATAATTATCCCTTTAAGTAGTCTTAAGGTTAATTATATCCTATTCCCTTCTACTTAGGATATCTACTTAGGCATTATAAGATCTAGGAGTATACTTAATTTAGAAGTTAAAGGGACTTATAACCTCTAGCTATCTAGCTTGCCTAGCACTAAGGACTTTAGTAGATATAAAGTACTCTAGTGCTCTATAGTCTATATATACTCTAATAAGGTGCTAAGTACTTATTAGGTTAGCACGCTATTTCTTAAAGGCGCAGATTATTGCAAACAATTCTTTATTATAGATTTCCTAGTTAAGTTTAGAACTAGTAAGGGTCTAACTAAAGAAGGATATAGGGTACTATTTCCTATTAGGATGCTCCTATAAGAGGATAGCTACAATAACTCTATTAGAGGCGTCTGTCTCTAGTTTTAGAGGGTACTTAGGATAGAAGTAAGCTAAGCTTAGGATTGCTAGTAGGGCATTCCTAAGCTAGTTAAAGGCTTGTTAGCATTCTAAAGTCTATACAAATAGGGTAGCAGGACTCTAGAGAGTAGTTAAGGGCTTAGCTGTCTTAGAGAAGTTTTCTATAAATTACTAGTAGAATCTAGTAAATCCTAGGAAGGACTTTACTCTAGTTATTATCTTACGAGCAGACTAGTTTTAGAGTACTTTAACTTTATTAGGGTCTACCTCTAAGCCTTTATTAGTTAGGATATATCTAAGGTAACAGGTATAGGTTATATAGAATTTGCTTTTCTTAATATTAGCCTGTAATCTAGTAGAATAAAGACGCTTAAGGACTTTTTAAATATAGTCCTTATAAGTAGCAAGGTTTTTAGAGTAGATTAGGATATTATCTAGATAGGCGATATAGAAGTTATCTAAATAATCTATTAGTATATTATTTATATAACGCTAATAGGTTGCAGGTCTATTATATAGCCTAAATAGTAGGACTTTATATTTATAGGCACTATATCTAGTGTAGAAAGTGGTGTACTCCTCTAAGTTAGGGTCTATTTAGATCTTATTAAAGGCAGCACGAATATCTAGCTTAGTAAAGATTTTTACTTTAGCTAGCTAGGATAATAGATTATCTATGCAGGGTATTAGATACGCGTCCTTTTGCGTTAAGCTATTAAGCTTACAGTAATCTACACAGATTCTAAGGCCTCTATTTAGCTTCTTAACGCACAGGATAGGAGAGGCAAATAGGCTCTAACTAGTCTTAATAAAACCTTTCTATAGGTGCTCTTGTACATATTCCTTAGTAGCCTAGAGTTCCTTAGTATTTTAATAATAGAGGGGACTCTAGTAGTTTAGAAGGGGTTCCTCTAGGACTATCTTATAGTTATAGGGCTAGTAGATAGGAAGTTTGTTAGCCTTAGCCTTGTTAAAGACGTCCTAATAGGAGTTATAGTTAGATAGGAGCTTCTAATCTAATAAGCAGGTGTTAAGAGTATCCTATTTAGATAGGGTTTAGATCCTACGCTTAATCTTATACAGGCTAGTAGTAAAGAATTTATTAAAAGATTTTTTTATATTAAAATAGAAAGTATTAGCAGAAATAGTAGCAATTTAGAATTTTGCAGGTAGGGTAATAGTTAGTAATTAGACTAGGGTAGGTAGCGTAATAGGTTTAGTAGCAGCCCTATAAGTAGCTAGAATTTTAAGTATACTACGTATCCTATTGTAACAATGAGGCAGAATTGCCTACCTATTATTCCATGCCAAGTTAGGCCTAATAAAGGCCCGACTTACTAATGTATATAGAGAACAGCTCGCCTATAGTTAGGATAGGCATGTTCTTCTTGTCCTTTCGTACAAGACCTATAGGTGTAGGAATCTTATCCTTTTCTATA